ACAGTATTTTTACAAATTAAATCGTTTATAATACTATTTTATACTACAATATCATTGGTATAGAAATTCATTATAAATGACCCATTGTTTGACAAAATGGTTATCAGTGCCCGAGACTCGGAGTGGAGACGACTCCGCTCTATAATGTCGCCCACATTTACGACCGGAAAACTCAAACGAATGACTCCTTTAATCCTTGAATGCATGGACACTATGAACGACAACATCGACAAAATCATCGCCAAAAATAACGGCCAACTCTCGGCACCGGTAGATATGAAACGAATTGCCGGAGCCTATGCTATGGAGGTTGTAATACAAGTGGCTTTCGGCCGGAAAGTGTCGGCTCTGATTGAATCAAACAACCCTATCATAGAAAATGCCCGCAAAATGTTTAGTACGAGTTTATTTACCTTGGTGAAACTTTTGTTCGTAATGCTAGCCCCAAATGTGGCCAAAATGTTGAAAATATCGCCGTTTGATAGAAAAGTTACGCAATTTTTTCGCGACTTTACCCTTACTTTAATCGACGATAGGAAACGTGGTTTGGAGACCGGAAGTCCTGTAAAAAGGGCCGACTTTTTACAATTACTGTTGGATTCAATGAAAAATAATAATCAAGCTATCGATGGGTCCGATGAATATACTGATAGTAAGAGTGCAGAGAAATATCGGGAAATACAGGCCACGGATGATATGACCGATAAAAGTGAGTATTAATTGTTTTTAAGAATATATACTTTAATTAATAATAAATTTTATATAAAATTGAATGACCTATGCTTATAATTTTAATTTAAAGGTCTCACAAACGATGAGCTTATATCCCAATGTGTGCTGTTTTTATTAGCCGGTTATGAGAGCTCTGCCACCACACTATCCATGTGTCTCTATAATATCGCTAAACACCCGGATGTTCAGCAAATACTATACGATGAGATCACAAAATTTAAGGAGCAGGTTAATTTGAAAATAATTATTTTTACTAGTTAATTAGCTCATTAAATTTTATAATGTAAGGTATTAAATTGTGTACTATGTCAATTTCTAATACAAATGCATACAATGAAATGTAAACACATTAAATAACCGATAGTTACTTGTAATATATTTGCATCAAGGTTTGACATACTATGCAATTGAATAGTTTTAATAATTTTAAAATATATTTTAAAACAGAAATCAAGTGCCGATCCGTACGAAGCGTTTTTCGCATTGAAATACATGGACGCAGTCATCGACGAAACCCTACGGCTATTCCCTGCGGCCATATTCATAGAGCGGGCTCCCAATGAGGACTACCAGCTTAAGGGCACCGGTATTACCATCAAAAAGGATCACGTGGTGCACATCCCAACCTACGCCATACACAGAGACCCGGATAACTTTGTCGATCCGGAGGTGTTTAGACCGGAGAGGTTTTTACCGGAAAACATAACCCACAATCCCTATACGTATTTACCATTTGGTGCCGGCCCTCGAAATTGTCTGGGCATGAGATTAGCTCAGTTGGAGATTAAATTAGCCCTGGTCTATCTTGTTCATCGATATGTTTTTCACGCTACAGAGGTAGTATTTTTTAAATGGTTTATATTTTAAATAGTAACTTGCTAACTTATTATGTTGGTTTACAGAAACCCTTGGAGTTAGGTGTGGTCACTGCCAGTGGTATCATTAAACCCAAATCTGTTGATTTAAGGATTAGTAAACGTTTTTAAAATTATATTTATAAAATGCTTATTTACCTATATTTTATACATTAGTTAAATAAAAAAATATAATTTGAAAAACATTAGCGATTGTAATAATAAGTTGTATGATACAATATTCAATTAAATAAAATTTATTATTATATTATAAATTACATAATAAACTGTATATTAATATAATATAATATAATATAATATAATATTACCAGTATAAATAAATGTCAATAAAGAACATTACTATATAACTAACTATAAACATATATTTAAATAGACTATTATTTTAAACTTTATGTATTCATAACACAAATCGACTATTAATGATATATTTAGTGATATTATATTTTATAGGTGATTAATTATTGCAATGGTTTTTAAAAATAACTTGCTTATTAATTATAACAAAAATCTATGCTCTGGTACATTTAAAATAAGGGAGCATTTTTCTCACAGGCCCACCCTTTTACCTCACTGAGACCTCGACCAAGGTCGACCAATTTGGACCTGGGGCCAAAAGCATCAAACTCTCGACCTCGACATGACATCAAAATTTTCAATCATGTCGATGACCGACCTAGGTCCGACCTCGACCTCTGTAAATGCACAATATATTGATAATAATAAATAATAAGATGAAATTAACTAGCAACTTTGTCGATTAGCAAAATATATTTCTCAATAGTAGGCAATGACAGGCAAAATCAATATTACTGACGATAGGCTCAGGAAACCAAGAATTTAGGTAGGCCTGCCAAACCTGTCGGTTTGACTGGAAATAAGGTATAAATATATCATATATGATACATCTCTAGTGTTGCTAAAATTAGAAATTCTCAACCTGGAGATTTACTCGGCCGAAAAGTGTCGGCTCTGGACGATCCAAATAATCCTATAATAGAAAATTCCCGCAAAATTCTTAGCCCGAGTTTATTATCTCTGGTTAAATTTTCAATCATAATGTTTGCCCCAAATGTAGCACAAATGTTGAGGATATCTGCGTTTGACAAAAATGTTACCCAATTTTTCCGGGATTTTACACTCAATCTGATCGATGAAAGGAAACGTGTTTTGGAAACGGGAAGTCCTGTAAAAAAGGTTGACTTTTTGCAACTAATGTTGGATTCAATGAGAGATAATAATGAAGCGATCGATGGGTCCGAAGAATATACGGATAGTAAGAGTGCAGAGAAATATCGGGAAATACAAGCCACGGATGATATGACCGATAAAAGTGAGTATTTAATGAGTTTTAAAATTTAAAACAAATTAACTATTACATAGTGTTTAATAAATTACGTTACGATTTTAATTTACAGGCCGTATGAAAGGCCATGTCCATTTAGCCCCCAAAATTACTGCCCCCAAAATTACGCCCCCAATTTTTCATATGAAATTTTCATCAAAATTACACAGAATCTG